TTGTATCATTTAGATACCGAAAGTACAATATATTGAACACTGTGCTGCTGTCATTTCCCCCTAATGATAACCTGAGATGGTGAATTATAACTCACAATGAAAATTGTTCAGGAAAGTGGGTATAGAGTAGACATGTAGAAATAGATAAGCTTATGATAAACCAGCCTTGTCTACTTATTAAGGAAAAGTGGGAGGTTCTTTTTAATGAACAGTAGCTTCTCTGCTTTATCAGCCATAAGTCTGTTCCTCTTCTCATCAAGCACATGAGAGGCAGCGCTGAACAGTCTCTCGCTGTCAGTGCTTGTGATTTGATCTTACTCCGCATATTTGTCCGGGTGTTTTGATTTCAAGTGGTGGAGTAATCCCGAAGTGGTGAAAGTCTTTGCAGTTACACCCCCTCGAGAAATGTCAGCTGAACACGTTTTACAAATCGCAATCCGCGCCTCTTTCTCTGATATTTTTAAATATCTCCAAGCGGCAGACATGTTGGCTGTGAGCCAGCCGCGAGCATGGTCGCGCGCCGTGCTTTTCGCCGCGTTTTGATTACGTCATCACAACAACACGTTAGCTTACCAACGTAACCCTGTTCTCTGACATTCGGTGATATTTTTTTGGTGCTAGAACTTCTTCTTTTTTTGGTGCTAGGTCCTTTTTAACCATTTTAACCGATAATTTTCGGCGGCCGAATATTCGGTGCATCCCTAGTCACTTATTATGCAAAATCCTCTTCTTCATGTCTCTTCTACATCAACATGTGTCCCCTCTGTGTAAAGAGATTCTGAAAGTTTCAGGAAAAAAGAATCTCTCTCTTTTTGTCCTGATCCATTTATATGAAAACCTGTCTTTTAAGACCGCGGAGTCTACTCATGTGCAGCCTCAAAATTTCTCCGAATGAAGTACGCCGGGCTCGGTAGATTTCCAAGTATGCTGGACATTGGAGCAGTCCTTCGGCGGCACTCGATGAAGTAGTATGCTTGAAATAGTGGCTCTGGAGCAGCTTTACTCGGGATTGAGAAACACCCAGAGAAACAGCACTTTTGAAACAGGGCTGAAACAGAGGGGATTATGGGTAATGCTGCAATGATCTGTTTGGTATTTGGAGCCAAACACTTCAGAGACATGTTTTGTATTTATCTGAGACCTTTAATATATTGATGGAAAACAGTATAATAGGGGACCTTTAAGTTGTGACACATCCTGTCTTTCACCAGCTCTGGGAATAATAACTCAAAGTACCTTCTCTACCCTGCTTAACAGAAACTATGACATTCTTTAGCGAGTTCATTCAGGAAGTATTGCTTCTCTCTTTATTGTCTGGAAAGTTAAATCTCTGCGGAAGAAAGACAAAAGTTAATTTCCTGTCGTCCTTTGCAACGTTGCCCTGGTTGTTTGCTTTTGACTAATTCACTCCTCGTCAATATCCTGCCAGAGTTCTTAGGTTCATCACAAACCCGTCTGACAGCAGTGGATTCAAATAATCAAGAGACGGAAAAACAAAACATCATCTCACATAACGTACTGCGTCTGAAACCAGTTGTATTACCGCTGTGTTAGCACATCTTACAGCTCACATATGTATAAGACAAATGCAAATATGTGTCCGATCCTTATATGCATGATGATTAACGCATATCACATCAAATTCAAGAATGCATACTTTAGTGAAAACAACTTTTTTTTATAGCTGAAACAAACATTTGATTACATTTTTTGTCAATCGACAGAAAAGTAGGGATACTGTTGTGATAAACGATTAATTGTCGAGTTAGTATTTCAATGAGTTTAGCTTCCTGATTTAAAAAGGTACAGTTTTATGTTGTTGAATGCGACGATAAACTGATTTTTTTAGCTTTTGCTAGTCGTCCAACTATTTGAAGATTAGCATTTAGGAAATTGGGATTACATTATTCATTCATTTCTAACATTTTATAGACCAAATGATTATTTTAGCCTTTAAATTTCATAAAAGTCTTGCCCCTTTCTTTCTCATCTGACAAATAAGTATCTTTCCAAATAACCTAGCATGTATAGAAATGAGTGATGCTGATTAAGTCCACAAACAACACACATATTGATTAGGCCTTTCTGGTTCATATTATCAAATTAAAAAGGCATCTATAGGGTTAAGCGCCTGAACTGGCTCTTGTCTCTTTCACTCATCCCCGTGTAGATTAAGCTCCAGCATCAGTACGGCTAATCAGTGGACAAATCTTCTCAGAGCCCAATCTGCTAAATCAGAGGAAGCACCTTCATTTGATGTGATGGTAATAAGATTAACATTAGTGCGCCGTGTGGTGGATCCGAAGAATAAAACCACGCAGAGCTACAGGACACCATGGCAAGGCCTCAGCTGAAGAGAAGTGCATGTGGGTCCATTTGAATGTTACGTGGTGGAAGAAATGTGCCGTTGTCAGCACATGTAGGAATCACACCCTCCCATTTTCTCCCGCCCTCAGGAACAACAAAAAGGAGCACCTTGGGAATAGTTTTCCAACACTAAATGCCTAACATGTTTCCAGTGAAACACGGAGAGTCTTTCTTTATGCGTTCTCACATGACACTTGTTAGCCAGGTCCAGAGCCCGGCTGCCACTGATTACTCTGAGTGAGTTATTTTCTTCTCTTCCAGTTAGAGAAGCGGAATGAGGTTATCAGGTTCACAAAGCTCAATTTGAATGCTCGTGTGTTGTCGTTACAGAACAGCCAAGATGTCAACGCTTTAGAAACACAGATATGATTTAACATACGTTTATTCAGACAAACTGTTTTCTTTGGTACTCAAATAATCCCTCCAAAACTTTTGCAAATGAGATTTGTGTAACGTGTTTCTGATAGACGTGCTGCATTTAAGTTTCGCATATTAGCCCATTTTTCAATGCTTTGAGCAGCAACAGTGCCATTCTATTAGGGCTGCTCGATTATGGCAAAAATCATAATCTCGATTATTTGGGTCAATAATTGATATCACGATTATTAAAAACGATTATCCATTTACTCTGAAAACATCCATTTATTGAAAACAAATTGAACAGTATGTTTTTAACAGTTGATTACCCTGAACTTTAAGTATAATTCAACTGAAAAACCAATACAAAATAAATAATAATAAAAATAAAGTAATCGTTTTATTTTGATTACGTTGTTTTCGTAATCGTTGCAAGCCAAAATCGTAATTGCGATAAAAATACGATTAATTGAGCAGCCCTACATTCTATGCACACGATTTAAAAATAGAGAACAAACAAAAGCATTAAAAAGGCTCATAAGGGGGAGAATTCGCTTTTTCTGGGATTATGGTTGGACTAAATCCTTAAAAATCGGAAACTGAAATCACAATTCCTAAAATCAGAAACTAGCAGAGCCTGTTAAGAACAGCACCGTGCCCTCCGCACGTAATCACACAACATATAGGTCGACTCTCCCTTAAACAGCCTACATTCAGCACAGGCTGCCCCAGTTACGCACCTCTCACCACGACTTTGCTCGAAACTCAACTCCCCGGGGTCTCGTGCAACTGTCAGTGACCACAATGTGTCATACTTTACCAACCACAGCATGCTTAAAGTGGGAGAGAGGAGAGAAATGGGAACATAAATAAAACACAAAAGGCGTGTTTAGTGACAGGTAGATTGCTCAATGAAGGAATGGGAGCAGGCTGTGGGAATCAACACTTGACACAAATCAAATGTAACATGGGCCGTCGTTCCTTCGATACAGTGAGTAGACCCTCACACTTCCTTGGAAATATCAAAAGGTTTCATCATCATTGAGGCAGCAAAGATCATTTGATTTATGGTGTTCGTACTATTTGAGAATGTGTCTGAAAGCTGCAATAAAAACTTGATTTAGCTTTGGATGACTTTACCTATAGTCTTTCACAAAATAGCAATTCATGTCTATCAAAAGTATAGGAGAAGAACTTGAAATAGTTTTGAGGATCTATCTAACTAAAAGTCCAAACCCTAACCAAGAGTCTCAATTCAATGCAATGTACACGAAGAGGGTTAGGGGTTAGAGTAACCCAACAACAAAGCAGTAAATCATTACATATAAGTCAAATGGGTAAGGTAAGATAATGCTCTGTTTAACCCGAAGGAAATTCTTGAGGCAGAGTTACAAAAGGTACAATACAAATAATAATAGCATAACATTGACACCATGTTTTGCTTACCAAAATACTTAAATTAACGTTAGTAATAGCAAGTAAGGACTCACTATTGCAAATAAGTGCACGCTGATTTAATGACAACACATCAGTGCATACAACACTATATTAACAAGACCTACTATGATTTATAGACACATGTTCAAGCCATAAAGGGGCCAATCTGCATAATCACTACTTTTACTTTTGGTACTTTAACTACATTTTGATGCTGATACTTTTACTTGAGTAACATTTTGAAAGCAGGACTTTTACTGTAACAGTATTCCTACACTCTGGGTACTTTTACTCAAGCACTTTTCTCACCTCTGTTAGTAAACTTTACGGTTCCTGGTTATGGGAATACGTGTTTGTACTAAAAAATCTCACCTTTAACTAATTGTCACGTTTTGTAAAGTTAACACAGAGTTGCAGCTCCTGTCTGTAATTATTTACAGAAGCTAATCTGTGGCTAACATTAGCTAGCTAATTAGCCTTCCTGCTAAACACTCCCAAACATTCGCACCTTAACGTACCTTCTCTTCTGGGGCGGGACACTCCGTGGCGGAAGAAGAAACTCACTCCAAGGCTCCAGAGTGAGGTTAAAATCTGGTAAAGTTTCCCGGTGAAGTAGCGACGGAGCACCGTGTGAACCTGGCTCTTCACTTGTCAGTTTGTCAGTTTGTCTCTCCTGCTCTTCCCCTGGCCGGTGTAATCCACAGCAAGCGCGCCCCCGTCTCCTGCTCTTCCCTGGCCGGTGTAATCCACAGCAGGCGCGCTCCCGCGGACTCAGCATGTCCGCAACAACTTTGGCAACTACCTTTAGGCAAAGATCGTCTATTGAAAGATGTATCACTACTACTTTTCAGTGGAGTCAAAGACAGGTTTATTACCAGGTTGGTTGACAATTTGACTTGATGTGGTGGTGCATACATACAAATAAAACGACAATTCAAAAACACAGATAGAGAACTATGTTAAGAACACTATAATAACATTACAAAATAAGAGTAAAAATGAAATAAAGCAGTATTTACATTGAAATAGAATGGAATGAAATATGTGCAGTAAAAAACCCAGATATTGTGATTGAAATAAGGTGATGAAAATATAATGAGAAATGTTGACGAAGTAATCACCATAATTCATCAAGTGTCTCGAAATTATGATTTAGTATCAGAATCAGAATGGGTTTTATAATTACCAAGTAGTTTTACGAGGGATTTGCTTTGGTATTAGTGGTGCAGACAGAGACACAGAAAGAAGAATAGGTAGCAAAATAAAAAATACTATGACTATAAAAGCTAATATTTACACAACATATAATTATGAGGGAATCTGAGTACAGTCAAATGTGATGCAGTGTGACAATACTATAAGATCGTCTATTGAAAGATGTATCACTCCACATTGGTTTCATGATAAAAAAAATATATATAGTATCCTACTTTTATATATTGAGTAAACTGTAATGTGGCCCTTCAATAGTGTTTTATTTGTCAGATGGTTTACAGTTTACTTATCTTCACGGTCAACTTTAACTTTTTAAAACATATACCTCTATATATATAAAACATATACCTACATTTATATATATATATAAAGTTGACAGTGAAGATAAGTAAACTATATATATAGGTATATGTTTTATAGGTAGGCCTATATGTTTTACTTTTTTTAGTACTGTTTTATTTTCTATTTTGGGATGTTTCTATTTTATAATTGTTTATTTTCAACTCTTTTTAATTTTAAATGATGCGCAATGCCTTGATTTATATACTGCTGTAATGTAACATTTCCAAATGTGGGATTAATAAAGTATATATAAGGGACAATGTTCAGCGAGGCGGTCATTATGGGTAAAAGAACACCCGACAGGCTGATCAAGAGCACGACGCCTCGCCTCGCTATACACATTATGCCTTACTTATTAGGCGTGTGGCTCAGTGGGTAGTGCGTTGGTGTTGGGATCAGGGGAGCACAGGTTCAAACCCCACTGCAGTCAGCATGTCGTTGTGTCTCCGAGACACTTCACCCCAAATTGCTCCTGTGGGGATTGCCCACAGTATTGAGTATGTAAATCGCTTTGGATAAAAGCGTCTAACAAGTGACATGTAGCCTAATGTTATTATCTGATCAGGGTTGAAAGAAGTACTCAGACCTTGTTCTTGAGTACAAATGGAAGTACCAGAGTGTAGGAATAATCTGTAATAATGTGAAAAGAATTAGCATCTAAATATAAAGTACCAAAAGTACTCATTCTGCAGATTGGCCTATTTCAGATTATTAAATATATGTTTTGATTGTAATTATTGATGCATTAAAGTGTTATCAAAGCTGGTAAAAGTGCATCTCGAAATGTTGACTTCGTATCTCTCGTATAAATGTTTTTTAAATGATTTTTTTAAAATATATATATATATTCAATAATGTGCAGCACTTTAAAATGTACTATAGCAATACAGTTGAATTGGAATGGATATTTAAATATTTTTATTTTAGAATATTTGAACTAGATGGTTCAACACAAAACTAATACACATACAGTATCAGCACATTTCTCCTATAATAACAGTACTAGATGAACATCATACACCGATGTTTTAAAAAAAATATCTTTCCATTTTAGAATTGGAGCAAGTTAACATAACCCAATTTCAATTAAATATTTATGATTGTTAATTCCTATATAATAATAAATACAAAAATACTTTAGGAGCTTTCTAGACAAATCAGAAAGTGCTTGTTTCAAGAACAGTGTCGTCCACTGCGCCACACGCCTCCCTGAATAATGAGGAAGACTTCAAACGAACACAACAAAATAGAAAGAGAGAAGCAATCGTTTTCTCATAATTATTTAATCACACATACATTTACATCATGCAATCAATCCAAAACTGTGATCTCATGAACTCCCCTGTCCGTTCTCCTCGGAGCGCTGCCATGTGTGCCCCAGTTATCCAGGAATGATCCAGTACCTTGTCCACTGATAGATCCTCAAAACTGTCCTTTTAAAAATTGACCAACTATTACACAGTAATAAAAAAAGTGGCTACACTTTTGTTTTTATTTAGAATTAATGCAAAATCAAATTTAGGTAAACACCTCAAATATTATTTGCTGTATTTCATTGACTATTCCCCTCTTCCCTCCCCCCCCCCTCCCCATTTCATATCCAGTTTTGGTGGTAGGTCAAAGGATACACATTTTGAGGTCCATGCTGCAAAGTCACAACTAATCTAGAAGATTACACCGATGGAATAAACCATCTCGATAGACACAAACACTGTCCTGTCGTAGATACATGGAGCTGCTCCGCCCTGCAGCTTGTAGAAAGTCTTTATTCTTATTTAAATTATTTGCCTTCAACAAAACAATTCCATTTTACAGGGCGTTGGAAGCGACTAACTCCTCCAGTCGAAACAGCCACACATGGAGTGTTTGCAGGTGTTGTGAGGAAGTGCTATTAAACTAAACGTTTTCTGTTACAAGGTTTTAGTATGACATCTTTTAGTGAGAGACGTAATCCTAGCTAGATCGGTTCCAGTCACCGAAAAACTATTTGCAGAAGCAGTTTTCTTTACGGTGTGTTTGTAAAAGCTTCTGTCAATATTGTCATTTGAATATCTACCACTGCAGGGAGTTTACTGTCGAGTAAAGTAGTAGATATTCATGTCCTAGGAAGACTCCTGTATCATGTTTCAGAGTGTTGAGAAATGGCAATGAGAGAAGCCCTCGATGAGAAAATACATTGAGAGCTAAAAGTTAGCGGAACAGAAGCTAACAAGAAAAAGGGGCAGTACTTTTTTTTTGTTGTGACTCCATATGGCAGGATTACCACTGCAAGCGAACACACCCACACGATATACAGTGTATTTTACAGTATATTGCACTTACACAAGATGTTAGTGTTCTCACGCTGGGGTTACAATCACAACAAGCTCTTAGCCGATGCAGTGGGGCTTCACAGGGTTACAAAAAAAAAGAGAAGAAAGCTGTGGTGGGAATTAAAAACACAACGAAAAGAACATCCTACACCCCTGACTAGATTTAGTGAAATAAACCCCTCTTACAGGTGATGACAGAAGATTGTTGTGCAATTTTAGACCCTGCTCTCCTGATTGGCTGATCAGCGGCGAGGGTCCGACCCATCGACTCACACCCCTGCCCGCCTCACCTTTCAAATATGAATCTACACAACGTCTATGGAGCAATGACAGAGGTACAGTACACTCAACCCAGCAAAACACTTTTCTGCACATTTACAAACCAAAAGAGGGGAAGTTAAAGAGTCTAAATCGATAAGAATCAACAACAACAACAACAAAAGGGTGTGGAGGGAGAACAAAAAAAAAGCAATACACAGAGGCGAGGCATCCTTGAAAAGAATTCATGATACAGGTACAACTAAAAAAACAAAAAGTCCTGGAGGTGTGTGTGTGTGTGTGTGTGTGTGTGTGTGTGTGTGTGTGTGTGTGTGTGTGTATTAGGACAGGACCAGCGTTGTGTGTGCCATCTCAGTCTATTCCCTGCAGCCTATGTGCTCCAATGTGCAGAGAGATATAAATAGCGGCCAGCATTATGAACCACCGATAGAAGTAAAAACAGTACATTTAGCTACTTAGCATAAGCTACGCTAAAAAAAAGGTGGAAGTTTTGTTGTGTCAACCGGATCATTCTCTTCCCTCTTACATTCTTTACATCCTTCTCATGAAGTCACCAATAACGAGTATAGGTTTCATTTTAACTTAATGATAAAAACAATTGGCCTCCACAGGTATTTAGTTAAATACATCTACAGTACACGGTTGCACGTCGTGGCTTTTTAGTTTATTTTTTTAATCCTTTTTTTGAGCCGTCCCCGTTGCTGTTGCCACACAGGTCTCACTCTCCAGGGTGTGCAGTCGTGCCAATTTTACATCTGTACAAGACCGGGCAGAACAGTAGTGCTCGACACCATCTAGTCAATTCAAAACCTTACAGTTGGTTTTTTTGAAAGTTTGTGTTTTCCTTAAAGTAGCGTGTCAAATCGAGAGAACGATCAATAACAGGAACGATGAACCGTACAGAGTTTAGCCTATAGGGTCAAGCTATCTCTCGTGTTGGGGATTCTCTTTTTTTTGGTATTTTATCTGTGTTTGTTTTAGATCTTGCTACCCTTACATTCAGCAATGCACAGTGTAGACCTACTCGCACGACAGATGACGACAGACTGTGCAAAAGAAAACCGAAGCTACACGCAGTGAGGTGTTCGCTGGTTTCGCCCGCAGAGAAATGCTCATACAACTGCGTTCGGTTCGGTGGATAACAATATTATTTAGCCTTTTGTTAATTCAAATGTGTTGTCTTTTCCTATTTTTGTTTTATTATTACATCCAGTACGAAAAAAGAGAAAAGTGTCATGATGAGATTTGGGGGGAGGGGGTGGAGCTGTACAGGCCAGGAATATTTATATATATATATTTATAATTCAGAAACTCCTTCGTGGCTCCAAAGCAGCGACGAGGAGACTGATCGCTGTAATGGAATGACAGGTTGAGGAGGGGGGGGGTGATATTGGCTTTTTCTTCTTCAGTGGTGTCCTCCTACTGTCCCGCTGCTCTTCAGCTGCACAGAAACACAAAGAGAATACGGCTGTTAATGAAGTTCAGACTTTCTGTAAATACGGCAGCAACAATCCGTCTTACAGCGAACACGTTGTTTAAGATCAAGTTGGAGTTGATTTCAAATTAAAAAAAAAAGGAAGCGGCTGCAATCAGGCACAAACATGAACATTTTAATAACACTAAAAAAACCTGGATAACAAACAAAATAAATACTTTTATTTCTAAAATGTGTCCAAAATATTCATGTGATGAGTCAAGGTTAAAATGGGGGTAGAATTATTTTACAACTGTGAGAAGACAGTGTGTGTGTGTGCCTGTGTGCCTGTGTGTGTGTGTGTGTGTGTGTGTGTCTGTGTCTGTGTCTGTGTGTGTGTGTGTGTGTGTGTGTGTGTGTGTGTGTGTGTGTGTGTGTGTGTGTGTGTGTGTGTGTGTGTGTGTGTGTGTGTGTGTGTGTCTGTGTGTGTGTGTGTGTGTGTGTCTGTGTGTGTCTGTGTGTGTCTGTGTGTGTCTGTGTGTGTCTTTGAGGGATTAGACTGTAGGAGAGTAATAAATGACAGAATGATCATTTCAATGATACGAGTAACAATACAACAGTCATGTATCCTAGGGGGATCATGGACCTTTCTGAAAACAAAGAGTGTGCTATTCTCACTTCTTCTCTGGTTTGCTGACGCTGGTGCCGCTGCCCCCCCGGATGGACACGGTCTGGCTGTTCTGGTAGAAGCCCCCCCCGCTGCGGTTGATGTTGAGATGGGTGGGCGACGCCACCGGCTGCTGCCCGGGCCGGATGGGCTTAGCTGGGGGACGAGAGACAGAGGAGGTTGAGGAGATCAAATCTTTGCATTTCATTTGAAAATATTATAAAGTTCTTACGAGATCCCCTCCATCGAATGAAAACAGTTCTTTATTTGGTTCGGGATATTCCCAAATAACTGGAACAAACTGCAACTCTGACTACTTTCAAATCCAGGCTGAAGACTTTTCTGTTTGCCGCTGCCTTTAATTGAACTATTCACATCTCACACTAACTGTTATTCATCTACCTGCTATTCATGTTTCATTATCTTTGCTTTTAATGTTTCTAGTGTGTCTAATGGTCTTAATGTCTTTCAGTTTTGTAAAAGCACTTTGAATTGCCTTGTGTTGAAAAGTGCGATATAAATAAACTTGCCTTTAAGTATTTTGTGGAGAATTTTAATAAAATGACACAAAACTATTGTCAGGATAAAAGAAAGGTGAGTGTTTGGTTCGGTTTCCCAGATATATTCAGAGCTAGTCTTTTCAAGTTTCCATTTTACTGAAGATGTGTACTCCAGAGGGCTTCCTTCAAAAAATGTTTTCCTTTACTTTAAATAATTCTTACATTTAAATATATAAGGAAAAATAGAATAATAAAAAAAGGGGCATTAGTACAGGTGCAGTATTGGCTCAACACGATACATGAAAACAATATCTATATTACAAACTGAAATGTCTTCGTCCATCTTGGCTGTGTGGAGAGTATTTTACAGATTTTAAAAAGTGTTATACTATCGTCACTGAGATATTCCAAAGACCCTGTGTTTCTGCCCTGCTCACCGATCTGGGCCGAGTGCCCCCTCCTCGCCATGTTCTTGGCCCTGACGGCCTCCTTGATGCGGTCCACCTCCTGCTGGTAGCGCTTGCGGTCGCGCGCGGCGTTCTCCTTGGCCTCCTTCAGAGCAGACTCCAGGGCCTTGACCCGCTCAGCTGTAGCACGAAGACGTTTTTCCAGTTTTGGAAGTTCACAGCGAAGGTCTGCATTGTCACGAACCAGCTGCGGGACAATTTGCATCGTGTTAAATCCTCTACATTTCAACTTTTAGAGCAGGGGTGCCCAAACTTTTTTCACCGAGGGCCACGTACAGAAAAAGTATACGCAGGGCCGGGTCACTCGCTAGAGGTGAGGTGTATTGCGTCATACATTAAAACCCATAAGGACCCACCGTGACACGGGGGTCACATGAACTTTAAATGTTCTGGAAAGTTCCTTTTATCTCATGAAGTCTCTAAGTGACACACACTGAACAGTCTGGTGGGTCCTGATCGAGGACATGTGATTTTGTGTTCCCATGACAACATGTCCAAGATGTCCATGTGCCACACTAACACATGTGACAGAACGAGCAACATTTCAAAAGCTTTTTTTTTGTTGCTAATGGTAAAATTCAAGCCATTTAAGAATTAAAATGCTTACATAACATGTCCTTTATTACATTTAACCTGTTGTGGAAACATTTCTTGATCAAATTGATAAGAAACAAACATCGCTGTGACACTGGTGTCACATCGGGACTTTAACTCTAAACTTTCACAGTAAAGTGACATATGCACGATTAGAAATATGATTATGATCTGCTCAGTTAATTTAGCTGATTCAATTATATTGAGTTAATATGTTCTTATTCTTCAATTCAAAGAATGTTCAAACTAATTCAAACCAAAACATCATCCTCATTAATTAAGTTTAAAATAAGAGTTATTTTGCCATTAAAGCCCAATGTGACAGATATGTCACATTTCAGATATTTCACACGAGAGGGGGTTACTTGTCAGAAATGTGTTCTAGGTGGTCTATTTAGTCTGAATTATGTTCCCCTTAATTTCCCCAAAAGTAGAAATGAGTTATAAATGAGCTAAATCAAACGTAGGTAAATTACGCTTGACACTTGAAAATGCCGTAAGAAAAAAACATCCCAGCTCTCCAGAGGGTTTCGTATATTGTGTTGGCAGCTCTTTCCTCAAAACAGAAGCTTAACATTAGCTCATAATAAGGGGGAATATGAAGGGTGCATTTCAAGATTGATATGTAAATAAGTATTTGGGCTTTTTTCTTATCAACTTAGATTTTTTTGAAAATGTTTCCAACTTTAATCGACTGACTTTATTTGAAAAGTGGTCTCAGTAACACATGAATACTACTGTGTAATATATTTATATTTAAGAAGTACAACACAAGACGAGCACAAGTTTCATCTGTGGGCCGTATTCCATTATACTATTTTAATCTGCTGAGGGCCGATTCAAAATGAACCGCGGGCCGCATTTGGCCCCCGGACCGTAGTTTGGACACCCCTGCTTTAGAGCAAGATTGAGCAAAGAAAACAACAGCAGGAGAAGATTGAAGAAAATACAAATGAATGAGATGAATATAGTATATGGTTGTGTTCATTAAAGTCGTACCTGTTTGTGAACTTTGGTGAGCTGCTCAAGGTTGTTCTCAAGAAAGGAGATTTTCTGTTTCTGTGCTGCACTCCCACCTGTGTCGTCGGAGTCCATCTCAGCGCTCTGCACGGCACAGAACACAAGCATTACTACTTAAATAACAGGCGTTAAATAAGGGGGATCATATCATCAGTAATCCATACACGACAGAACGTACATTTAGCAACAATCACAATGGAATAAAAGATAGAATCAGCTTTGAAAACACTGATTCTAATGTTGCTGAATGTTTCAAAACTATTGTTATTTTGTTCACATGTGTGTAGTTAAGCAAGTCACCCAGAAAATAAATATATGTTCACAGTAGTTCACCTTTTTCACCCGGGTAGCCAGGTCCTGGACAAAGAGCTTCCTCAAATTGTGCAGAGTCTGCAGTTCTTTGGCCTGAAAAGTAAAAAAGACGAGCAATTAAAATCTGAATATATAAATCCATTACAACCGACTGAACCAATCTTTAGTTAATCATAATCACATTCATTAAACTGTAAATACAAGCTGCCAAAATAAGACCAATAATCTTTATTGAAGACTTGAAATGACTGTTGTTTCTCCCTTTAGTATCTACAACTTAAAGCAATGTGTCCGTATGGGCTCAGACAAGAACTCAATAATGCAATCTATCGTACTGGCAAAGGGACAAAACTAGGGATGCTCCGATCGATATCGGCCGATACTAAATGCCGATCGCATGACGTAAAACACATGACACTTTTGTCTGTGCGCGGCAAAACGAGCTCGTCAAAATGGCTTCACCGGTCTGGCAGTGTTTTAAGGTGTCCGAAAAAGACAATAAAATAGCGGTATGCAACGTGTGTGAAGCAGAAATCCTGCAGCTCCGCCCGCTGTGACGGACCGCTGAGCGAAACACACACTAAGAGTTAGACCTAACACACTTAGATATTTGATCTACATCTGGAACAAGATACACTAGTTATACATATATTTATTCTTCACTGTCACTCATTACTGGATCAGTGAGCTGCATGAGATACTGACAGGCTGTCAGGAGAGAGAGAGAGAGGGGGAGAGAGAGAGGGAGAGAGAAAGAGAAAGAGAAAGAGAGAGAGAGAGGGAGAGAGAAAGAGAGAGAGAGAGGGAGAGAGNAACATGAGTACACAGGTATAGACAGAGAGAAGGAAGAAGTAAGATGTCCCGCTGATTAGATTCAGCCCCTAGTTTTGCTGATATAGGCTTAGTTTGTTGGGGGACATCTTACTTCTTCCTTCTCTCTGTCTATACCTGTGTACTCATGTTCCGATTAACCCAGCTTCCCCAAATTTCTTTCTTTTTGGTGTCTATATACGCCAGGATCCGGAGTCATGGATGATCCTGCGGTCCTGTGTCATGGATCGCGAGTCCTGGATCTTGAGTCGTGGCTGTGGTCCTGGATCATAAGTCCTGGATGTATATCCTCGTGGATTCATCTTCCTATTATACACACATGCATTTCCAAACATTTGGACTACCTATGTTGCAAATGTATTATCTTTTCAATTAACACACGGCATCTATTGCACGTCTGTCCATCCTGGGAGAGGGATCCCTCCTCTGTTGCTCTCCCTGAGGTTTCTCCCATTTTTCCCTTTAAACTGTGGGTTTTCTCTGGAAGTTTTTCCTTGTACGATGTGAGGGTCTAAGGACAGAGGGTGTCGTATTGTCATACTGATATTCTGTACAAACTGTGAAGTCCACTGAGACAAACGTAACATTTGTGAAATTGGGCTATATAAATAAACATTGATTGATTGATTGATTGATTGATGTATCAGAAAAGTCTGAGTCTCCAGGGTACTTTCAGTGTTGACTGTTGTTGGTTTGTAAAGTTTCAAAGGTTAAACTGCTAATAAATTCAACTGCTGATCGTGGAATCTGCGGGCAATCCTATAATGAATCTGTCAAAGCCAAAGCATATAAGATTTCTTGCGAATCATTTAGCAACCATGATAACAAAAATGCAAGTATTTTCCCTGATGAATAGGTAATGACTCCATGTGCCTTTACTGTTTAATTAAGTCACATGTAAAGTTTGTGACAGCTATTCCAAAGTAATAAGCTCTGAATCATTACTGCACAACTGACACCTCTTTTTCTACCTCTTAGTCATTATTCACAACGGCTGATTTACAGTCTAATGATAATTTAAATCATTTCTTGTAACTCATAATCAGTCTCTGATGGTAAAGGATGACCATCACCTTTATAGCTAATGATTTACGTGTCATTGGTTCATGTTTGTTTATTATCTTCAATTATTTATAAAAAAGTCAGTGTGACCAGAAACCAGACTAGGCGTCAAATGCAACAGTGTATTCCCCTTGGTCCAAATCAAATTAACAGGTGTAAAAGCACCAATAAAAACAGGAAATCATTGGACAAATAATCCGTACAGTGAGAGGCATAGCAACATAGGAATATCTCCGTCCAAACTAACATTAAAACCAAATGATTTCATTCCATTTGAGAAGAATATGGGACATGTTTAAATTGGATCCTGTTTGCCACAAAGACATGAAAGAGTGCTATTCAGGAATTTATATAAAAATGCAAAGCGACGCATAAACATTGTGCCTCCTCAAGAGCATCTTTTTATCTGATAAATAACTGCTAAAGCTATCTTCTCAGCTACAGCATCAGCTATGTGTTGGACTGCAGTTTAAATTACTGTTGTGGTTTACTACTGTCTTAGGTAGGTTTATTGATCTCACTGGAAAACACAATTGCTGAAGTAAATCAGATTTTCTGCATTCTAAGACAAAAACAAGGCTGTTGTATAGTTAAAAGCCTTCACAGGAATAATATTTAAATATCTCTCAGTGAATAATGATGAGGGCTGACATGTTTACCAGTTGTCTTGACTCTGCATTTTAAAAATATCTTTAACCTGTGTCAGTGTTTAATGCAAAATTATCTTTGCAATTGAAGCAGTTCTGCCATATACCCTCATTTCTGGAAGGTTTGATAAAGTATGCATTTACTCCGAGTATTAAGGGCACACATTATGATTTCTTGACACAGACATATCCATCATCTCACATAATCTCTGGTCTTTGCAGAAAATAATAAACCACATTATCAAGATCTGTTAACCTCATCGAATAGGATGGGATCATTTGCATAGAAATTGATTCCATCCCTGGGAATTTGTGAACGATGACCGAGAATTTAAATTTAACTACAGTGGACAATGGGCAGTTAAAAAAAATAGAGAGTTCGTCTTTTTGAAATGGATTTCCAATTTCCTCCTTGAAGAGATTTTGTACATAGCACTGCATATGATTATGGTTGAGGTGGTATTAATCTATGGGGCAGCGCTTTGAGTAGTCTTTCACAATAATTCCCTCGGGTCTGCCTGCCTAGCTTTTGTCTGTTGCAGGTTTGTGCCGTTGGATTTCATGGCATGTTATGCCACTGACATATACCTCAACCTTCTTTTTTCTTACAGACCTACTACTGGAGAGTCGGAGAGGCCTGACATCAGCTCTTAACTGCAAGGAGGAACAGCATGATATGTTCAGAATGGCAAGCGTTGAAGGGGCTTTGAAACCATTTTTATCTGCCTGAAAACTTTAAGCTCCAGTGAGGTGTCACAGCGTAAGATGGTGTACTAGCACTCAGCCCCCTGCTGGGCAATGGCCTCCACGCAGTGACATCAAACCCTCCCTCAACTTAAGGATTTCTTTCCAGAGGAAGACATCTATCTTGTTCTCCGAGCAGGGAAATCGTACCCCTTGGTGATTTTCAGTGTTGCATCTAAAGCCATGATTTCTGGGGCGCGGAGCCAGCAATTGAATGGAAACAGTAAGTGTGAATAATAGTGGAGAAAATTCAATTTTTTTTATTTTTCCCCCACTTTCCTTCACCCATTAAGCAGTGACTTACTGACAGAAAGGCAGGTTGGTGTCGGGGTCCAGGTGACAGGTGCCTCCATTGTAGCAATATCCGTCACACAGCTGACAACTCGGTGCTATTCTGCCATTTGTGCAACTGGAGGGTGAAGAAATAATGGAATGCTAGTGACAAGCAGAAAACCACACTTTTACAGAAAAGATAAATGAGTCAGTGTCTGACATATGCATATTTATATAAAAGGGGAGAGTTCTAATTCATTGACATAACAGACACTAAATTACTGTAGGGTGAGTTAACTTATACATATTTCAGATTTAATCAAATCAATTCATTCAAACTTCAGCCTGCGGATACAGCTACTGGAACCTGGGGATATTCTGCAGAGCTGATACTTCTCTATAAAGGAAGAGGACTGTGAAGCAGTACAGGAAATGTATGAGGGACAAGAAAAGTGAGAATGTACCAAGTACTCACTTGCAAACCACATCCCCTGTATCCTCATTAATGAGGCAGGGAGCTCCATGGCAACGGAGACACTTGTCCACCTCGCATTTGTTACCCTCAAACCTGGCGGGACACACACACTCTACGTATCCGCTGCTGGATAGCGTGCAGGCCTTGGAGTTCACACAGTAGTGATGACAGATGTCTGTTACACAGTCATAGAGACAAAGAGAAAGAGAGAAGATAGTGCGTAATGAGAAACTGGGACATAGTTTAAGCTTGCTTGATTGGAATTGTACAGGACTTTTAATGGGACTCAATTATCTACATCAAATGACATCTTAGCCACAGATGAAAGCATATCACCCCTTGGGCACGCAATGGTAGGAAAATACTAATGACGAGCAGTCTAAATTGTTTTCCACGCAACCCATTGAGACAAAGCAAAGGAAAATACATTATCACTTCTGCACAGAAACACCCAAGCGTTGTTTGATTGTAGTATTTAGATTTCTGTTTATCTGCAAATATAGGAAAATGCAGTGAAAATACTTCAGGGGGTTGTTTTTGTTCACAGTCTATGTCTTTGAAATGCTTATTTCTGTAGATGTTATGCAGCATAACTAAATTCAAAGAAAGCTTTGTGGTGACTGGTCTTGCGGCTACACTTGAAACACTAGTGGAAATCATATGTGCGTAACCATTAAAACTTCTTGTGTTTGCAATGGGCAGGACTTACGGTAAAGACAACGGTCCCCAGTATATTCTGACATGCAGCGGCACACCGGCTGGTTTCCCTGAGTGACGTCGCATGTTCCCCCATTCAAGCAGTAGTTGTCACAAATCCTCCGCTCACAGAAAGGCCCAGAGAAACCAACAGGGCAGCGGCATGTAGGCTTACCTGGGAAAAAAACAGAAAAGGAGCGATTAAGAGAGCATGAAAAGCCCCCAAAAACAACAGCTCATTGATCCTACTCACAAGTATTTTTTGTCCGGATATATAGCTTATTCCTCTGTGCCATAGACCACTATTGTTGTCTGAAAACTATTAAATACTTTCAACACATCAATGCACATCATTGCGCCGGATGACATTTCCTATTATGTGTCGGTCTCACAAACACTGTCTTGCTGCTGTGAGTACTCTCAAGCCCTTACGGATGAAAACAGTCCCCAACAAATTGACTTCCTGTTTGCTACATGGCCCTCAACTACATAACTGCGACTGAGTACACTTATACCAACTACTAATAGCACAAGCTTCAATCTGTCAATCATAGTTCCACAGTCACCAAGACAGGTGCTAATCAGTAAAACAGTAAAGGTAAAGAACCATCCTTCCATCCATCATTTTTAGACAAATATTCATGTATGGGTCAAGGTGACCGCAGATTGGCACCTATGGATAGAAGCTAAGGTGCTCTTTTTTGTAGTGTACGCCCTCCAAGTCAATCTAGAGGATCCCAAATGGTTCACAGGCCAGACATAATTTGCATATTATTCCCCCAGCATGTTCTAGGTCTGCCCACAGTTTTCTCCCTTGTCAGACATGTCTAGAATTTCTCTAACAGGGAAGCGTTCGAGAAGCATCCTAATAAGGTTTCTCAAGGACCTCAAGTGGCTTCAAAATGAGGGAGCGGCGGTTTGACTGAGTGGTTTTGTTTTGAAGTTAATTTTTTTACAGTGTTTTCTTTCATACATATTATTTTATTTAACAATTGGGAAGAAAGACCATTCTTTTAACAGCTACTCTTCAATAAACACATGTTTGCTGATTGTGGTTCAGAGACATTTGCACTAGGAAGACCCTGCAAGTGGTTGCATACTGTGGTAAAAAAAAAAAAAAAAAAAAACATAAACTAGAATATCTTTGGATGGATTTGTGTATATTTCAAATATCTGAAGGACAGCTAAATGCTGTGAGACAAAATAATTCAAAATGTAAATGAATGTTGTTTTTTGGTATTAGTTATTATAGCCCCTTTGGCAGAAACAATGAAGTTATGGTTATGTGTGGGCCGGTCTTTAAAGGACTCTTGTCTGGTGAACTTTATATACTTCCCTCCATTAATGTCCTACAAGTCAGAACAGTTGTGTATCTATGTTTTAAGTATGTGTTTTGTTGCAAACAGTCCTATAAGAGTTTAGGGAAACCTGTTTAAGTGACAGTAAAGCTGCAGGATTCAACGACACCTTTTGTTTTTAAAGATAACACTGGAAATTCTAGCCTCTAATTGATTGTGGCGCTGACTCCAGTCCCCTTATTTTATCACCGAAGCAGTGACTTTAGGAAACCTATTTGACTGTATTCACTCCTTCGCTGAACTTTGGTTGGTCATTTATATGTTTATGTCTCAAAGAAAAGCAAGACCTTTATGAGAAAAAATAAAATTGTCAAGCATGAATAAAACAAAAGGCCCCAGCAGCACAACACATATAACAAGACTTTCCTTTTCCCCTCAGCTGTCGGCCATAATATGAAAACAATGTATGATCTAGTGTAGTATGATGGAATTCAACCAAAGCGCTTGCAAATGAAAAAAAAGACAACACTGATTGTCACCAATAGAAGCCCTGCCTTCTCTTATTCAGTCGTGAGGCCCTCCTGCAGTGATCTCACAGCAACATGATTCCTAGCTATGATGACAGACAGACTACATTTTTATTCCATGCAGCAGTGATTATCCTGGCGTCTGTTTATGTCACGTAGAGCCGATTTAGGGTTTCAAAGACCACTTTAAAACAAGGTGAAAACACAGATTATAAAATATCAGTTGACTTGGGTGTATGTTTTTTCCAAAGGCCAAAAGAAAACAAATAGATTTGATTCTAAGCTTTAGAAAAGCCAGAAGGGAGTGGAAAATGTCCTCTTTGAAGGTATAAATGTTTATTAAAAAGCCTTCCCATTAAAAAAAAGAAAAATCTAAAGGACATAATTTTAAACCTCCAACTGCTTGGCGTAACTAATGAATCACTCAAACAAATTGCTTGGTTTCCTCCTTTTATGTACTGGCTGTCATTCAATGAATACATCTTTAATTATTTCAAACCATTTGGAAATGGTTATGCCATTATAATACATTTTTGTGGGAACAGAACTGCATTTTTTGTATTAGGGAAAATGCTCTGGTGAATCTTGTATTTTTCTGACAAATGGAAATGTTGTGGGTGATTGCTATGATTGGAAGATGATATACGGGCCTGTAAATCAATGGGAGCATTTTTAATAGGGCTCTTCATCCTGATTCAATTCCACCATTGACATCCCAGTATATTCATATACGTCCGCTAAATTGAAGGCAGAACTGTTTTTATTTCCAGAAACCACGAAAGCATGAAAGAAGACCTTGACTTGGAAGAAGGTTAATAAAGGAGGGTTGTTCAGCGAGAGCATCAATGACAGGAACCGTCAAACTGGCAGATGTAATCTAGCAAATGTGAGCTGAAGTGAGAAAGTTTAAAGGAAGACAAATTTGGTTGAATGCCATTGGGATTGAATTAGGATTAGGTTTGGGGTTAGGGTTATGATGATTGGAAGTATCTGTCTGTAGCAGCAAAAGGTTATCTCAGCAAGTTTAGTTTGCCCTGAGCTAAATATTAGGAATCAAAAAATAGAAACCACTTATTTAAAACATTCCGAAAAAAAGGGTGAAACACAAAGACAACAACACTTGTGAAATATAAAGCAAGTGCAGGGCAGAATCATGCTACAAATGTGGTTTGGTGAGTTTATTTTGAAGTAGACTTACCCAGGGGTGAGCCCATGCAGGTGCCTCCATTTAGGCAGTAGTCTGTACAGTGGTTGACCTCACAGCGTTCCCCGGAAAAGTCGGGCCAGCAGTAGCACCTCCAGTCTCCTTTCTCGTTGGCTAAGCAGCGGCCTCCATTCTCGCAGGGGGGGCGGCACAGTTCACCTTCACAACAGCAAAGCCCATATCGCTTACAGTGTGTAGCAGTCAATCACGTCACACAGTGCTATGCTGCAAATGTCGGCAACCAGAGTGGTACAGACTGGACGTTTTTAGAATGGATAAGGAATCACTGCACGCAGGAGGGGGGCTTTGTTGAACCTCATTACACGACAATTCCTCACAATGGAGTGTGGTTTGGTGTATGCACAACTGTGCATGTCAGCTCATATACAATTTTTGAGCTGTCTTTTGACACATTTCCAATTACATTTAGGGTTTTCAGTGCTTATCAAAATCTTTTAAAAGTGAGAATTGTTTCAGATTTTCTCCACACAAGCAAGGTTTACAATATCCACCAATATAGGTGCTCTTAAAAATTCCACAACAAGAAATGTTTACGATGAATATGCGAGATTAGGCCTACCTGAGATGATGCTATCACTACAGGTGCCATTTACCAGCACCTTCCCCTCCGGACAGGTACATCTTGCGCCCGTTGGGTTGAGCAGACACATGAAATCACAGGACATTCTGAGGCACGGATTTGATGCTGTAGAGAAAGTTTAAAAGAAAAAAGAGAGCCAAGAAGATAATCTGTCTGTCTGGTTTGAGATGAGAAAGACATTTTGTTTGTTTGTGAAAAGTGTGTTTGTTCTGTCTCAGATTAAAGCTATCTATTTTAAGTGTTTTAATTTCCCTTTTTGAGGACTGGTGTTGTCTTGAAGCCTGGAGAGAAACAAGGCTAGCGCATGTGAAAAACTCCACTCAGCGCCCTTTTCTCCAGATTGAATAATCAACGACTTTGGAACGCGTGAATTATTTCCCATTGTCTAATTGATTAGCGGCACTCTGAAGTGCCCTTCCCCCTGCCGCCTACAATGGCGAGACAAAGAAATGTAAACATCTTGTGAGAAAGCACTCTGAATTCAACAAAATAGCAAACACTTTCAAGAAGGTAGGTATAATGCATTAGGTTCAATACTGATAATCAGCATGTGTGCTCTATAATGGCGCATTTCCACTGCAGGGCCTCGCTCGGTATGGCTAGGTCTCGGTAGGCCTTGTTAGGACTGGCTCACTTTATGCTGCGTTTCCATTACAGTTTAGTAGCTGAGGCAGTAACTATAGTAACGCAGTGTAGGTGGAGCCGTGACGTCATCTTCAATGAGAACCACAGAAAAACTACATGAGCCGTTAGCTGTTAGCACTCAAGCTCACAGCTCCTCATATCTGTTCAGAAACTAGACAAAAGCTAAACCACAGACTGTCTGTGTCATGGCGAATACAGGCGCTGGTTTATTTATGTCTGTAAAGGCCATTGTTGTGAGTGTGGACGGTCGGAGCATATACAATATACAACGTTAGCTTAGCCAATCTCCACTTGTCAAAGCATTAATTCATGGTTTTTACTAACCGGTATCAGTATGTTGTTACTTCGGCATCATTTTGAAATATGTATTACAATTAAATCACGGTCAAATATGTTCATGTTGTTGTATTTGTAGCCCCCTTGCCAGCGATTCTCTCTCTAGTTTCTCTCATACTCAGCCCGACTCAGCCNAAAGGTTTCAACGACTAAGAGACAGACAAATGAAATCTACTTTATTCCTCGGGGAGGGGTGCGGGGAGACCTCTGTAAAACCAATGTTTCCTTGAGTTACCCACGAGATCCTCCTCTAAAGTCCACTATCCCACCCCCCCCCCCCGTACTTTATTCTCCCCCTGTGTACAACTACATCTTCTCTGTACCTCTTCCTCCCCTGTGTACAATACATCCTCCTCCTGTACCTCTTCTACCTGTGGTACAACTACATCTTCTCCTGTACCTCTTCTACCCTTGTACAAACTACATTTCTTGTACCTCTTCTCCCCTTGTACACCTACATCTTCTCTGTACTTCTTCTCCCTGTGTCACGACTGACATCCTTTCTGTACCTCCTTCTCCCCTGTGTACGACTACATCTTCTCTGTACTTCTTCTTCCCCTGTGGTACAACTACAATCTTCTCTGTACTTCCTTCTCCCCCTGTGTACAACTCACATCTCTCTGTGACCTCTTCTCCCCTGTGTACGACTACATCTTCTCTGTACTCTCTTCTTCACTGTGTACAACTACATCTTCCTCTGTACCTCTTCTTTCCCTGTGTACAACACTCACAATCCTTCTCTGTACCTTTTTTCACCTAAGACGCTATTATCCCACCTGGAAATTACATATTAGAGGAGACTATGTCTCAATGAGCTTTCAGGAAGTCCACCACACATGTCTCCTGACCTGCCATCCACTTCGTGCGTGTGTAGCGCCACGGCCGGACAGCGGGTCAGTGGTCTACAGCCAGCTGGAGTTAGTCTGGCGTCTGTCAGCGGGACGAAGGACTTTGCGTACATTGATTTATTACATTTATTGAGGTTTTCCCAAAGGTGACGCAAGGACGTCTTTCTGTTGGTCCTTAACGCAGGGTGTAATCAATGTTCCAACCTCATACCATTTATACATTTGGAATCTTTAATACTCAATCACCTACACCCACCATACACAGGATAGATAAAGTTCAATGGATATACAATTTATTTTGTTAAGAATTAGAACATTTCACACAAGACAAGTAAAGCGATTTCTATACACATGTGTAAAAATTCCTTTTGTAATAAAGTTTCTATGGAATCTAAAGCTTTTTTCAGAGAGGAGTAAAAACAATCTAATTTATGTAATGAATAAAAACATTCTTTGCTACATTAACCTTTCCTTTAGTTGTTATAAATTAACTTTTAGTGCATGTACATAAAAAAGTTTACAAGTTGTTACTACGCTCATAAACTTCTTGTCATTGGCGTATAATTTTTCTTTCTCATAATAAACATAACAGAACAAAAATAATAGCACGACCATGTATATATGACAGTGGAACTTTATTTCGTTATGTAAAAATCGGGAAACGCAATGAAAAATTGTGGAAAAGACTAAACTTATAGTTTTTACGAGTCGAGTCTTCCTTTGGTTTGCTAACCAAGGAAATTTTCTTCTTTACATGATGGACAATGGTACTTGATGACTTATGAAGATTGAGTATCTTTGTCTATGAGGTCTCATGAGTGAGACGGCCACGGCACTTCCGGACGACGTCCAAGACAAACGCCAAGAAAACCAAGGTCGCACAACAATCAGGTTCAGGTCGCCCATTTCTTCCCTACTTGCTCTCGCGTCCTTGCGGTAGGGTAGCGAGTCGACCTGCTCTTCCAAGACCATATAGCTGACAAGACTCTCCTTTTTTGCTTGGTATTGTCTGTCGTAGATTATAAATTAGACTCTATATACCCAAGATAAGTCAAAAGGAGTATCTGCAACTTATGGTGTTAAGACTAACCAGATAAGACTGTAAGGTCTCCAGACGTTAAACAACGTTCTTCTGGCAACGGACTCGCCCTCGTCTGACAACGATTCCTCTCCGTCCGGCAACCGAATTTCTCTCGTCTCGCAACAGTTTCTCTCGTCTGGCTAACGAAATTCCTTGTCTGGCAACGAATTTCTCTCGTCTGGCAACGATTCCCTTGTCTGGCAACGACTTCATCCCTAATTCCCTTATACCAGACTTGATCCGGTGGCAGGAGGTCATTTCTTTTTTCCAACTTATTCTCTTCCTTTCTCGCAATTTTTTGTCTCTCGACCTTACCAGTCTGCTTTAATCGTCTTCCTTCTGTCTGTCCTCATTGTGATTGTCCCTTGTCGTCTTCTTTCTGTCTCGTCCCTCAGGTGAGGTGTGGGGCCCTTGTACGTCTTTCTCTCGTCCTTCATTTGTGATTTCCTTTCGCTTCTTCTGTCCGTCTTCATTTGTGCATTTCCCTTGTCGTCTTCTCGTCTGTCCTCATTTTGTGATTTCCTTGTTTGTCTTCTTCTGTCTATCCTTCATTTGTGATTTCCCTTGTCGTCTTCTTCTTTCTGTTGTCATTTATGATTTTCCTTGTGCCTTCTGTCTGTCCTTTATTTTGTGATTTTCCCCTGCTGTCGCCTTCTGTCTGTCCACTTCATTTGTGATTTCCCTGTCCGTCTTCTTCCTGTCTGTCCTTCATTTATGATTTTCCCTTGTCGCCTTCTGTCTGTCCTTCATTTGGTGATTTCGCGTTGTCGTCTTTTCTGTCTGTCCTTAACAGAGGGGATTATGGGTAATGCTGCAACGATCTTTTTGGTGTTTCAGCCAATCAGAGACATGTTCTGTGTATATCTGAGACCTGTGATATATTGATGAAAAACAGTATAATAGGTGACCTTTAATAACCACCGTGTGTCATGAACACTTTGAATAAGCTCAACATGAAACCACTGCTGTTTGAACCACATGAGAATTTAGTGTTTGATAAAGCAGTTTTTCCTTTAGTATTTACACTGATTCAGTTTCTTATCACGTGTATTGTGACGCTAATATTGCTGTATTTTTTTGTAGTTCTCAAATGCTGTAACCAAAGAAAGGTAAGATTAAAAAATGTAATAGCTGCTGTCTGTTGATCAATCAGTGTTAAGAAAAGACTTAGGGATACTAAGGTGTAAGTGTATGACATGACACCCAGAGGTTAAAGGTATCTTTATTTTTTAATGTACTTTAAAATGTCAAAAAGACATATGGTAAGTGTACGTCTGTAAATGACAGAAGCGAGAGACGATAGTGAGGAATAACAGAAACAGAATTGGCAGGTGTTGTGTATTGTGGTATATGTGAGTAATGCTGGGAAACGTTGATGTGTTTATGCAATAATGTGATTCTAACGATCTGCTTTTAAATATCAAGAAAAATACGTTGGTGCTGCTTTTTCATTATAAGTATGCAGGGCTGTTGGAGAACCGTTAATACAAATCTTGATGGATTTTGTACATAGCATTGTGGTCGTGTTGGCAAATAAAACCTTTTGAAAGTTGTATGTTTGAACTGTGTCAGAGAAAGATTTGTTAAATAAATAATAGTTTATATTAGACTGTTTGTTGCCATCTAGTGGTTGAACACATGTAATGGGCCAATAGCTGCTCATGTTCAGGTCATATTTGTATGTTGTGCCGTTACTCTGACATGTTTACAGGCTTTAATGTTAAGAGAAACTCTCTCTGGAGGGATTTTAGCCTTTGCAGACCATTTACATGCACTAAAACCTATATAACACGCTAGAGGAAAAGCAAAACCCAAAATGCAGAGTATGGCCTCTTTAACAAATATGTTACCTCTATCCTGCCATGTGCGCTAATGTTTTAAACTTCCTTACAAGTCATTTTTAAGATTACATTTTTTTCGCATTTTTGGGATCTGTGTTTGACGATGCAATTTTTATTTTACGAGCCTGTTTTTCAGGTTTCAGGCTCGAAAATGACATTCCCAGAACAAATGACCATATCTTCCCTTCTAAAAGGGTTAAATTAATAATCTTTTTTCTCAAAGTAATGATAAACCTGTCAGTTGGATGTAGAAAGTCAGATTCAATATAGATGTTTTTTATTTAAAAAAAAATTCCGATTGAACATGGTAAAAAACTGTAAATGATAGTGTCCGTCCCAAAAATATTTTGTATTTATAGTGAAAACTAACCTTGGATGATGGGTTAGTACAGGGATTCCCAAAGTGGGGGTCGTCGCGAGACCCCGAGTGGGGGTCGCGAGATGATTACAAAATAAAAATGGAAAATAAAAAATGTATTAAAATTTTTTTTTT